ATGATGATGATGATGATGATGATGATGATGATGATGATGATGATGATGATGATTTATTAAATTCATGTGTTGAATGACACTCAAGAATTATGGGTAACCATTTGATGAACAATCTGTTCAGAAGAGCCATGGTGGTGCAATGTTTAGAATGCAGTATTGCAGGCTAATTCTGCTGATGGCCAACTGCCAGCAGTTTGGCAGTTTCAGTCACACTGGCTCAAGATTGTCTCAGCCTTTCATCCTTCTGAGATTGGTAAAATGAGGACCCAGATTAATAGGGGCAATATGCTGACTCTGTAAACTGATTAGAGAGGACTGTAAAGCACTGTGAAGCGGTATATAAGTCTAAGTACTATTGCTATTGCAATAGTATTCACCTATAATACCAAATACAGCAAAAGCAGCAAAGAAATATTATTTTATGCCCTGTCATATGCCATAACACATTCTCAACAAACTTTGCTTCTCTTTGAAATTTCTGAAAGGGTTTTCACAAATTTACTGAATTTTTGTACAGATATCCTAACAACATTCCTCACAATCTGAAATTACAGTTTTCCCCTGATTTTTCAGCTTCAAAAGATCCAGGCTTTTACACAAAGTGCAACACCTTAATTTCCAGTTCATTATTCTTAATTCATTGGGTCCCTCTGAACCAGGATGAAAGTGTGAATCCCACATTCCAAAAAAGAATGAAATATCTGAATTAGTTTATATTATTAAAAGGTATGAAGAACAAAACAGATATTTGCAAACCCCCAAGGCAAATATTAAGTTACAAGAATCTTCTAGAATAACATAAGCAGCCTTATTCTTACAGAAGTTGTGGAGCAAAAAAATTAGAATTCCTCATTATTGGCTAAACTACATCTAGTTCATGGTTGGCCAAAACAACTGAGATTGCTTAATTTTGTTCTAGATGTCAACTTGTAAAGCATTCCTGGCTTTGCTCTTGAGTTGCCATAAAAAGGAAGGGGGAGAGATCTAATGGAACAGTTCAGTTGCTATGACCAGAAGCACATTCCACGCATACCTTTCTCCAGATTGTGTCCCAGGTTACCAGAGCCAGCCAGAGGGTCATGTTTTCTACAGCCCGTGAAAGTGCTCTGTTGGAGAGTGTGGTTTATGACACACCCTGGGAGGAGGGGGAAAACAAGATTATAGGTGGGCAGTAAATTACATGGGGCAGAGCCGACTGCACTTGGGAAAAGTGCCAACATGTTGCTCCTAATAAATAATTGGATTTCTTTTTAAACTTGGCTCGAGGCTCATGAATTAATTAGGGCATCCGTCGGAACCCTGACACTAGATTCATATTGTCTAATATTGCCCCCATATTCCATCAAATATTCTTATATTCTCTTTGCTTCTATAGATCAGGGGTGTCAAACTGGATTTCTTCAAGGGCTGGATCAGCATTGTAGTTCTCATCTGTGGGCTGGCATTGGGGGGTGGCATGGCCCATTTTTGGGTCTTTTGGGGTCATCACCCCAGTTTTTGGCCCAGTTTTGGGCCTGTTTTGGGCCCGTTTTGGGCCTGTTTTTCAGCCATTTTGGGCCCATTTTTCAGCCTGTTTTCGGCTCATATTCAGCCCATTTTTCGGGCTGTTTTCAGCTGGCAGAGTGCTGCAGGAGGCCATGGAGGGTAAAAACGAGACATGGGGGGGCACACGCAGCCTGTTTTAGCCACCAGAGTCATCATGGGCCGATCTTTTATATTTCCATATGGGCTCCACAGGCCAGATTTAAGCACCCTGCAGGCCGGATCCAGCCCACGGGCCTTGAGTTTGACATCCCTGCTATGAAAAGGTATGAGGCTTTAGGGAAAAAACATTGATATAAAATGTCTTGCCTTTTGATGCTGGCTAACTCATCAAGATGATTATAAAATAAAATTGTTCTTGAGTAACATAATCTATTTTCAAGAATTTCCTTCTTATTCTGAATTACTATGAATGAACATAAAGGCACATACACAGACCTGTCCCCAAGGCCTTTTCTAATTAGTCTGATTAGTTTAGTGCCAAGTATATTATGAAAATCTAAAAGCTTGACTAGTTTAGGGCAGGACAACAGTCAAAATCTCTTTCTTAATAATTTTACCAAAACAAATGTTTACAATTAGCATTCTTCACTTATTATAAGAAGCAAAACTTAGCAATATAGGCAAGTGGAGTTTATACATAAAATAAATGCATACATAGAACATTAGGTCACAATTGTTGATAATGAATATAGTTTACCATGTATTGTTTGTGGAAAGTACCGTCTCATTTTACATATTGTATAATAAGGTGTCCATTCAGGTTGTGTGGTGTATTTACTGATTATATTAATATAACCAGCATATTTATTTCTGGATGCAGTAATACAATTGTTTCATTTAAAATTTTAAGTTGTTATTTTCATTTATTTTTCAAGTACATTTTGGGAACTAATTAGTCTAAAGCTCATGTAAGAATAGCAGCATTACAGTGTGTATGTAGGTTAATGATGTGCTTGTATGAACTAATTATTAATATTAGTGATAATATTCATTCGTGAAAATATACAGTATGATGATAATATATTATAATTATTTAACTCTGAAAAGATTCTTCCTTATTCTGCTAGAGGAAAGATGCCAAAGATAATTTTATAAGGATCAACTGAACTAACAAAACCATATGGAAATTTGTTGCTTGGAAAAGAATGCCAAGTTAACTTGTACCATTACTTCTGACAGGTTAATATGTTTTCTTTGTCATGTTACTTTTATAGATCTTGAAAGGAGAATTGGAAATCAAGAGACAATCATTGGATAAACTGAATTCTCTCAGCCAGGATGTCCTCTCAGCAGTAAAAAGTAAAGGATTATCACAAAAACTGGAAGGGTGGCTACAAAACATTAGTCACCGCTGGGATAGTTTGGCACAGAAGCTGGAGGGCAGTTCTAAGCAGGTTTGTCCAAACAGCCTGATAGTTAATGACAGTCAAATCATTGTTGAATCATTTCTTAGCCATGATGTTTGTTCTTACATAAAGAAATGCTTTATTTCAGGCCAGATCAGCATTGTAGTTCATCTTTGTGGGCCAGCGGCAGGACAGATGCCTCTTGCAGCACCTGTTGGCCAAAATGAGATGCGAGAGGTCTGTGTGCGGCCTCCCTGCACCTTCCATGGCTGTCTGCAGCACTCTGCCAGCCAAAAACAGGCGATGTGGCCCATTTTGGGGACTTTTTCCAGCCACTTTTGGCCTGTTTTTCAGCCCATATTTTGGGCTGTTTTTGGCCCTTTTTTGGCTGTTTTCAGCCCATTTTCTGTCTTTTGGGTCCAGTTTTTGGGCCATTTGAGCCTGGTTTTGGCCTGGTTTTGGGCCCAGTTTCAGCCAGCAGAGTGCTGCAGGAGGACATGGAGGGTGAAAATGAAGCGCAGGGCCCCCTGCACGTTTAGCCACCAGAGGCACTGCGGGCTGGTCCCTTGATATTTCCAGGCCGGATTTAAGTACCCCATGGGTCAGATCTGGCCCTCGGGCCTTGAGTTTGACACCCCAGCTTTATTTCCATCTTACACTCAACTATCCATATCAACTTTCAACTCCATATTCACAGAAAATATTTCCTGTTTTTAAGTGATATTCTTAGTTCTAAATCAAATCACATGAAGTTAACTTTAAACTCATACATTTGACAATTACTTAATAAAGAGTCAAAATTTGGCCTGCAAAATTTGGCCTACCCAAACCATAATTTTTGCTTATGAAAAACATTCAAAATTAAGTTGTTTCTGTCAGATTCCTCTTCTCCTTAGAGAGAAGATGCATAAACATGAAAACTTACTAAGCATCCATGTTCAAACATACTGGAAACTCCTGGTGCAGAATAGAAAATACTGAAACAGTGACAGAACTTAAAGCTATGGAAGGCAAGGAACTTAGAACAAACAGCTGGGCTTGGAATAAGGATATGTATGCCAACATTTATATACTACTAAAACTCCTGATGCCATTTGAAGGTTCTTTGTCTATTGATAAAATTCAGTTAGCACAAGTGGTGCATCATAGCATACCAAAATTTGGATTAAGGTACTTCAGATCTGCTAACTTAAAATAATTGGTACAAAATCCTGGACTCATTGTTCCCGTGGAATTGGAATTTCAAGGGTCTTCATACTGGTTTATTTACAAAGTTGTGATCATTGCAGTTTGCCAAGGTTAGTGATGATTATGTGATCATGATTTCTGATACTTCCTGCCAGCTTCCCACAAGCAAAGTCAGTGGGGAAGCTGGCAGGAAGTCAGAGGTCGCTCCTGTTCCAGTGCATTTTTGCCTGCCCATGGTCATTCTATTTCTAAGGAAGAAATATTTCTGGAAGCATGACCCAACAGGCCATGGATTATTAGGAAAGTCAAACCACATATCTCAGAATGTTCCCTGTAGACTTTAGTTGCCCTCTAAACATGGGTCTTGTATTATACCTTCTATTTTATTTAGTTTTGGTCTGGTTGAATGTTATATCTATAGCTATCAGAGGTATATTTACAGATAAAAGAATAAGTAGATGATAGGTGGAACCTGCTCTGAGAATTATGAAAATTGTAGAAAAACATCCTTCTATGTCCTGCCTCAGTGAGGGAGAATACCTGTCTTTTGTGGGTTTTGTTGTTTTTTACTAGAAGACAAAGAAATAATTATTCTAAGATGGAGGGAAGAATCTTGAAATGGCATTAGGAATTCATCTTTTTCCACCGAGTTCTCTAAATAATAACTTCAGTAATAAACACAAGAACAGAAAATAAAATGAAATGTTTGTGAAGACTTAATAGATTTTTAAAAAATCTTAGTTTTTTAAAAAAACATTTACCTTTTCTCTGGTGAAGTAGCTATCTTAAAAGCGGGGAGGGGTATCCAAACATGTAATTTGCCTTATACAATTAAACCTTTGTAATTTTTGTTTTTGCTTTACTTGGTACAAAATGTGCTACAAATACATTCTGTTTGAATTTGCTGCTCATTTTAATATTGACTTTTTCTTGTCTTACTTACCTAGCATGAGTCAGATAAAACAATTTAGTTGCGTACAATACAGTGTTGTTTTGTTCTGAAGGTCATGAACAAGAAAGAACAATTTCTCTTTATTTTCTATTACCACTTTAAACATCTTAATTAAAGCCTTTCAGCTAATGTGTGACCTCTGCTTCAACACTTCTCACAGATTTCACAAGCTGTTGCTGACATTCAAACATCATTAACACAGACCACAGTAATGGAAACTGTGACTATGGTGACCACCAGAGAGCAGATCCTGGTTAAACATGGTAAAGAGGAGCTCCCACAAGTCCCATCTCCCAAGAAGAGGCAATTTATTGTAGATTCTGAAATTAAGAAAAGGTAAGAACTGAATAAATGAAGACACTTTTTTCAAAAGTTTTTTTGAAACCATCAATACTTAATACCTTATGTTTATTTTTTTTTTATTATCAGGTAGGTTTGTTTTGTTCTGTTTTCTACATACAGAAACTTTATCTGAGAGGTTTTGAAGCAAATACAAATTTTGTACCAGATTGTTATTTACTGAAGTTATACTATACTATTTATACTTTTACTTTTTTATTATTTGGATAACTGCTGCAGGCATCAAAAAATGCACAGTCAATAACTTGCCACAGAATTCCATTTTAACAAAACAAAAACAAAAATGAACACAGAGATAAAGAGTACATTTTCAAAAAGGACAAGATACATTATTTATATACTATATATTTATTCCTTTTTTCAGAGTTATAGTTGCATTTCATTTTGTTCCAACAATCCTGTGGTGAGGATTGAGTTGAGAGAGACCCCCATATTTCTCAGTGAGCACTTTGAAAGTGTCTGAATCAGGGGTGGGATTCAAATTTTTAAACAATTGGTTCTGTGGGCATGGCTTAGTTGGCTTGGTGGTCATGTGACTGGCTGGGCGGGGCCAAATTGACATCACTCACATCAAGTGGTGCTTCTCCTCGCCTGTCCTCATGACTGTGGGGATGTTGCAACGGTCATAAGTGTGAAAAACAGTTATAAATCACTTTTTTCAGTGCCATTGTAACTTTGAATAGTCACTAAATATAAGTCAAGGATTACCTGTACAAAAATACAAAAAGTTTCTTTGCTTGCAAATTGCTGCCCTAAATACCAATCATTAGATTAAAATTACCTGCAAGCCAGAGTTACAAATTAGGCAGGGTGCCAGAGCAACTTGAGGAATTAAAATAGTTAAAATGCAATAACTATCAGCAGCCAACTCTTGCTCATAAAGTAAAACCCTTTAGCAAAGAGCTCATTTAAGCTCTCCAGAAAGAGCACATTCAGGAAAAGCAATTCTTAGATCCATGTATACCACTTAAAGACACCAACTGGTCTCACCTCACAAGATATCATAAGGAAATCATCCAGATTTAAGGAAAGGTCACATGCCACCCAGAAAGGCAGTAAAAAAATCAGTGCCAAGCTTGCATCCTGCCTTTTGGAAGTACACCCCAAAAGGACAGTGCCAGATACCATTAAAGCAGTGAAAGAAGACCCCCTCCCCAGATAAAAAAAGAAACCATGAGGCAGAAAAAAATTCAAACACAATACAAATAATTAAATCTCAACAGTAGCTGTTGCTTGTTAAACCAGTTACCGGAACAAATAGACACAGGTACTAGCCAGATTTCTCAACCCAGTTTCTTTTCAGGAACAGAGATTTAAAATGTAAAACACATGGAACCACATATATGTATTTAAATAATTAAAAAATAAAAAACTTTTTGACAAAAAAACCTAAATCTGTATATCTCCTAGCAAATCCATCCTAAGCTTTCTCTGTAATGATGCACCATTTTTCCCCTGAATAAATTAACTGGGCTAATATTTATATTTATTCACTGGGTGGTTGTTAAATATAAGTCTGCATCCTGTACTGTCTTTCTCATTTTATCTTTCTCTTTCTTTTAATAGACAATACTCTGCAGGAACTGACTTTTTGAAAAAATAAAAAAATATTTTTATCAAATATTCTCAAACATTGTAGTACTGCAGATATAAATTTAATAATAAATTTAAAAAATGAATTACCCTAACAGCTCAGAATGAGTTTCAGAAATACAATTAAAATAGCTTGATAATATTTTGTGCAGCAGGTCCTATGATAGCTGCTTTATTAATTTTCTAAGAATGAAGGATTCACTGTGTGGAAATAGGTCGTCCTAAAATCTTGATGCTAAGTTGCTTAAGACTATATATTTCTGTGTACACCTGGAATTGGCTTTGAAATCTATCTTATTATAACGTATAGATCTTGGCAATACTACTCATTCTCCATACCTCTTTACATTTTGGACCAGCCTGCCCTTGCTAGTTTTAAGTTTCTGAAAATTATATATTACAATAATATATTAACTGTATAATATTAATAATTTTATATTCCAAAACAGGTTTATCACCTATCACTCAAAACAAAAGCAAGAATAAAAAAAAACCCACTTCTCCATTTGCTGATAATTTCTGGCTATTCATCATTAATGGGGGATCCTGATAGCAATCTGGTCCTTAAGAAAGTACATCCCCAATTTAGGCTTTAATCCTAAATTGTGTCCGTAAAATTAGGAACAACTCTGAGGAGCAGAAGTTTCTTAGGTACCTCTTTTGACAGGAATGAGAGAAATAGGAACAGAAAGAAAAACAATTCTACAAATGCCCAGGAAGATACATTGGCAACACTACCAAAAGACACAGAGATTACCTCTTTCTCATCTCCTCTATAGATCAAGCACCAGGGTGATAAAAATTGTATTTATACTAAATCCACATCTAAACCAAAACTCATTATCTGCATGTCCTGTAGCTCAAAGCTACCACTTTCTTTACCAGCTTAGCTAAACATGAAATAGAAACACCTAATTAAAAAAAAAAACCTTGGCCAAAAGATAAGCAAGAGCATTACCACCACCTCTTAAGTAGACAAAATACTCCACCTGAAAAAAGGAATGTTAATTTACAGAGTCACAATTAGACAAACTATCCACAAATCCATATAAGCTAGGCTGAGATAAAGCCTACAAGGACTGACGTATTAAAATCTATTGACTGTTATTGTTAGGCAGATATACTTCCAAATAAAGTTGTTTTGTTTTAATAAACAAATGCCATGACCATTCTTGACATCTTTACAAGGCCATACTTCATATATTATTAATTTTACAATAACAAATATATTATTCATGCCCACCATACTATTTTATTTAAGTAACATTATAATAAGGCACAGATGAAGAAATAAGCTACAAAAATTAAAAATAAGAAATAAGAAAAAGTAAAAAGTTAACTTGTATCTAAATGTTCATATTATTCATACATATATTTCTGTCTCTGTAAATATATTTGCTTTTATCATATCCCTGTTCTGTTTCATACATTACCTTTGGTTCCTTATGTCAGCTCAAATAATATTTTAAATATGCATGGAATACAGGATATTATTTAGAGTTGAATTTACTTTATATGCAGAATTTATATCCTGGTTTTTAGTCAAAGGATTGTTGGACTACCGTTACTTTGTATAAAACAAGAACAACAAAACACACTTTTTTTCTTCTTACTTTAGATTTGATGTTGATACAACAGAACTTCACAGTTGGATGACTCGTTCAGAAGCTATACTACAGAGTCCTGAGTTTGCAATATATAGAAAAGAAGGAAACCTATCTGATCTCAGAGAAAAAGTTAATGTAAGGGGGAAAATCTATTTACTTAATTTATATAACATTTGTAGAACTAGCATGTTATCAGCTTCAAGTTTTACAGTGCATTTCCATTTGATAAATGGCTGTAGGTTAATTTCAGATTTGAAATATATTGATAAAGTATGCTTAAATGTTCTTATGCTTTAGTTTGCTGTCATCCTGTCCTAAAATATAAATAATACAACTAGGTGTATTCAGTTACTGCTATAAAATATAAAGCCTGGCTTCCCAAAAGTTAATAATGTCATATGTTTATATGCCTTCCTTTGAGAAAGATTGTAACTTGTCAGTGTGACATTTGAATAAAAGAATGTTTACAAGCAGAAGATCTTTATAAAATATAAAATGCTGAGATATGATCAATGAGTCATATTAATGCATATTTTTTAAATGCTCAGCTTTCTGAATTCCTTTTAACTGTCTCATTTTAAAACCTTTCCCCACCTTTGGCATACACTTTTTTCTCTGCAAAATTGTTGGAATTTTGTTTTGAAAACTATGCTAAGTTAGTAATGGAGAAATTAACTTTAGCTTATTTCAGAAACAATCCTACATATTTATGACATTTCTTGGAAGATACTCAGAAAACCTTTTCCTATTTTTCTGGGATTTCACCTCTAACTTGGAACTTGGAGAATATTATCTGGCAATGCTATGTAATTGTCTTTGACACTGTAGTTATCTTTTGTTTTGAACAGCCCTAAATAGGTTCAAGTGGCATTAATCTACAATATCAGTGTTCCACATTTTTTGCTTATCTACCTACAACTATTTTCTAACTCATATTCTTTGAGAGTAGTCAGTAAAAATATACTGCAGATTAGAAGTTTACATCAATATTTTTAGTCATATGGATTGCTAAACAGTGTGTATTCTACCGGTTCGGCCCAGTTCTATAGAACCGGTTGTTACGGTTCCCGGTAATTCGGAAAACCAGTAAAATGGGCCCCTGGCTGGCCCCACCCTCTCTGCCCACTTCTCTGCTCCCTGCCCAGTCAGTCCTTATCGCCCATGTGCAACATAGTGCACATGCGTGACAAGCTGACTACATTCTAACCCATCTGCCCACCCCTCCTTATCTCGGCCATTCGCTATCGCTGCCTGCAGTCTGCCTTCACCCACCCGCCAGCGCTGTCTGCCTTCCACCATTATCTCCCTAGGTGAGTGAGGCTCTGCAAGCCCCAGTCGCCGCTTCTGCCGCTGCTGCCACTTCCAAATGCGCAGACCAAAAGAGCACTGAGGAAGATGGGCTCCTAATAACCAGCCTGTTTGTACAGGTGAGAGCTCTACTTTTCTGGGCTTGACACCTCCTCCCCTTCGGCCTCCACACAGGAAGGGCCCTTCTCTGCTTGGAAGCGGCGAAGAGAAACCTAGAGCTTAGTCTTGGGGAGACTTTGGCATGGGGGGTGTTGCCTGGTTATTAGGAGCCCGTCTTCCTTGACGCTTCTAGCCTGACCCTCCTTCCCTCCCCAAACTCTAGGCAGCTACACCTGGCAAAGGAGGGAGAGGTTTCCTCTGACTTGGGGGAGATATGAGATGACAGGAAACCAGATTGGCGGGGGGGGCTTTGCTTTTTTTTCTGCTTGAGGGGGAGCCGGTTCCTCCCCGTCCAGATCTTCCCAGCCTCCAGGCACCATGTGGCTTCTTTTGAATCCCAAATCCCATTTTTTAAATCATCTTTCCCCCCCAAAGGATGAGAGAGGCCCCTCCTTTCCCTTCACTCTGTCCCACAGTTAAGATTAAGCATTTATGATTTTATTATAATTAAATAAGCATTTATATATATATAATTATATATAATTTTATGTTGTGACTCCGGGATTTGAATCTGGTCCGTCAGCAGATGTGAGCTCGAGTGAAGAAGATCTGGCACTGAGATTCGAACCTGCATTATTAAGTGATTTTGAAGGTAGCCAGGATGAGGAGGTGGACTTAGCTATGAGAGATGAACCTAATTTATTGAAGGTGTCGGAGTCCTCTCCCCCCTCCCCCCCCGAATCTCCCTCTCTGATTACGCAGCAGCCGGTAACAGATAATCAGGAAAACGTGCGAGAGGTTTCAAGTGAGGAGGAGGACTTTGAGGGATCCTGGCTTGACGTGAGAAATAGACGGAGATTGAGACGTCAATCTCAATTGGGAAAGAAGCGTCAAGCCAGTGATTAATTAATGAGACTAACACGCCCTCTTAGGGAATAAAAGGAAACGGATTGGCTTGAGAAATTTGCCACGTTTGCAAACAGCGCCATTGGAAGTTTATAAAACTACGACCAGGACTGAGGAGCCGATGGAGTTGGGTGCACTCCGCCCTCGGTTGACAGCGCAAGAACGCGCGCGAAGGTTTCAGGGAGGCTTGTGCCTTTATTGTGGGGGACCGGGACATTTTGCCAATTCCTGCAAACGAAGAGGGACACGAAGACCAGTTCCTGAATCTACTCCTGGCCCACCGGGAAACGGGGTAGGCCCGACCTCGGGGAAACCCTAGGTCGGGCACATCTCACACCACCACCCCAAGTTGCTGAGGTGAACCCTGGCCCTCCTCGGCATTTACTGTTGGACACTCAAGTTTTCTTAACAGTCCCGGAAGGAGGGGATTCCTGCAGTTACGTTGGTTGACTCAGGGGCTACTACTAGTTTTATGGACCGGGCCTTCGCAACGCACTTTGAGGTCATTGGTTGCTGTGGATCCACCCATCAAGGTGGAAACCGTGGATGGGCGTGAGCTTCGGTCTGGGCCCATTCGTTTCGCCACCCAGCCATTGCGTATGGTTATCGGGGATCACGAGGAGGCGATAAGTTTCTATATCACCTCGGACCTCCATCTCCCTTTGGTTCTTGGCATATCTTGGCTAAGGTTGCACGATCCTTATTGTGGCTTGGGCACAGAACATCATTTCGTTCCCAAGTCTCCAGTGTGTAGATCATCTGAGACATATCTGCGCTGGCCAGGACATTGCCGCTCCTGCTGTTTCCATACCACCGGAGCTATTGGACTTCTCCGACGTTTTCAGTGAGAAGGAGGCAGATCAGTTACCACCGCATTGAGCCTATGACTGTCCCGTGGACCTTCTACCTGATGCCCCACTGCCTAAGGGTTGTTTATATTCCATATCTGAGCCCGAATTGGCTGCTCTTCGAAATTTTCTGGATAAGAACTTAGCTCGGGGATTTATCAGACCATCGTCATCTCCCCTTTCAGCTCCCGTTCTTTTTGTAAAAAAGAAGACGGGAGAGCTACGTTTGTGCTGTGACTACCGCCGGTTGAACGCCATCACGGTGAAAAATAGTTATCCTTTGTCGCTCATTCCGGAGTTGATGGAGCGGTTGCGGGAGGCTACTATTTTCACCAACCTCGATCTTCGAGGGGCCTACAACCTGGTGCGGATGCGCAAGGGGGACGAGTGGAAGACAGCGTTTGGCACCCGATACGGACATTTTGAATACACCGTAATGCCGTTTGGATTGACCAACGCTCCTGCGGTTTTCCAGCATTTAATGAATGACATTTTAAGGGACATGCTTGATCAGTTCGTGGTGGTGTACCTGGGTGACATTTTGATCTACTCTCGGTCCAGGGATAGCCACCTTCGTCAAGTCCGTCAGGTACTTCAACGTCTTCGGGAGCATAAACTCTATGCGAAACTGGAGAAGTGTCTCTTTTTCCAGACTTCTATAGAGTTTTTGGGGCATATCATCTCTCCCGAGGGCATTGCCATGGACCCAAGGAAAGTAGAGGCCTTGTGTAGTTGGGAACCCCCTCGTCGACTAAAGGACGTGCAACGTCTCCTGGGGTTCGCAAATTACTATAGGACCTTCATTCCGGACTTTGCCAAGCTGATGGATCCCATCACTCAGCTCCTTCGCAAGAAGGTCCCGTTCCAGTGGGGGCCCCCGCAGCAACAGGCTTTTGAGACTCTAAAGAAAGCCTTTGTGGCTGAACCGATATTGAGGCATCCTGATCCGAATCGTCCATTTGTGGTCGAGACAGATGCCTCTAATGTAGCTATTGGGGCGGTGTTGTTGCAAGCTTCAAGGGATGGCGCACTTCTTTTCCAATGCGCATATTATTCAAGGAAGCTCACAACTTCTGAGCGCAATTATACTATCTGGGAAAAAGAGTTGCTTGCTATCAAGGCTGCATTTGAGATCTGGCGACATCACCTAGAGGGGGCTCGGCACAAGGTGGAGGTTCGGACGGATCACCGTAACTTGGAACATTTGTCTACTGCCAAGAAGTTGAACCAACGCCAGATCCAGTGGTCGTTGTTTTTCGCGAGGTTCAACTTTTCCGTCACCTATGTTCCCAGTGGACAGAATCGGAGAGCAGACGCATTGTCTAGAAAACCCGAATATATTGGTCCCGAGGATCCTCTTCCTCCACGAACGGTGTTGCCACCGGAATCTTTGGCCATGATTCAGGATCCGGTGGATTTGAGGGCTCGAATATGGGAGGCGCAGCGATTGGACGCATGGTCGCAACAAAGAAGGGGGGAAGTTGGACCTGATTCCCCATGGACTTTGGAGGAGTTTATTGTATGTACCCACCAGGATGCTTAGAGCCCTCATCATGACGCAATGTCATGACAACCCCGCTGCTGGTCATTTTGGTTTTTACAAAACTCTGCACTGGGTCACCCGGACTTTTTGGTGGCCTCGAGTTCGACATGATATTTTTTTCTACGTCGCTTCTTGTGTACAATGTTGACAAGCAAAAGCAGCATCAGGTGCGCCTCATGGACTCCTTCAACCACTGCCGACTCCGGGCAGACCATGGGGAGCAATCTCCATGGACTTTCTAACGCACTTGCCCTCCTCGTCGGGTTACACGACGGTGCTCGTGGTGGTCGATATGCTTACTAAGATGGCTCATTTTATCCCTTGTCGGAAACTACCATCAGTCTGCACTACGGCCCAGTTATTTTTACAGCATGTCTTCCACCTACATGGTCTGCCGGACAGAGTGGTTTCGGATCGCAGTGTCCAGTTTA